TTTATTCCTTTTTAAATAAGAAAAGGGAACACTGCTTTTTTTACTCTGAACTTGGGCCAGGACTATTGAAGTTACCTACAAAATTGTACATTAACCAACTAATGCCAGTGATGAGTTAATCTATAACTTCATCTGTTAGCTGTTAACATGACCCCCAAACCTAACCTCCTCTTGACTGTCAGACCCTGATCCTGGGCACACTTCCCCTCGAAGCTAAAACTGAAGTTGGGGCCTTGGGCTCTTGTATTTGTAAGTCTTAGTTGGTCCCTGCCCACTATCATATCTTCCTGTAGTATGTGTTCATGACATAATGAGAGTAGGGCTATGTATGTGATGATACGACCTGCAGAATAGCAGGGGCCGGGTGCTCTCTGGAAAGCTCTGGCTTCTGTCATTTCTGTGTTTTAGAAGCTGGAATTATGCCCTAACCTCAGTGGAAGCAAACTCTGTATATGGGGGGAAATTAGAGGACTTCTGTTACTGTTTCAAAAGTACTCACCTGAGTACTTTTTTTTTACAGTGAATTCAATTGGTACATTTGAAATTATTTTAATTTACACATCTTTTAAAGACTAAATCTCCTTTCTAAGCTAACATACACCTGTCCTCAAGCAAGACCGTTATAGTGAACCTTCTTCCTTTCACAAGTCATCTTTTAAAAATTCTTCCCTTAAATGTTCCACTTCAGAACATTTATCTGAAGCGGAACATTTCAGATAGGAATGTTCGTATAGGAATGTTCTAGCAATGACTGCTTAAAATAATACACGAAATATTTATGTTCTTACTTACAGGTGCTGGTTAAATATACCTTTCAGTTATTTATGGAAAACTAACACTCGAGTGCCCTGAGTTATGATTTTCCCCCCAAAAAGAAAAACTTGGACATGACAAAACTTAATGGACTATAAAGAAGTGGGGGGCAGGGTTGACAGGATATAGTCAGTTCTGAGTTGAACGCCCTCCCCTGCTGCCAGCATACTCTGACCTTGGGAAGTCACTGCATCCTTTGCAAAACGGGGACATGGGTCGAGGTGCTCTTTAATCCCATTCCAGGACCGAAAGGCCCTTAATCGATTCATATGGACCGTAGTCGAGGTCACTGTTGCTGAAGCGGCCCCCTCTGTCCCTCTGCATGAGGACTGCAGTGACTCTTCGGGTGGGCCACCTTGGCTCTTGGGGCCAAGAGAAGCAGGCTCAGTCCCTCTTCTGGATTTGGCTCATCGGTCCTTCCAAATGTTCCAGCCAATGGAGGGTATGCATTTTGACCCATTTAGCCTCAGAATGATGCCAGCCAGTCTCCATGTCCTCATGATGGTTGGGTGCTCTTGAGCCAGTGTTGGCATATTCTACAATTTATCTGCCTGTTCTGGGGGGGTAACATAGCACCTGTAGTTTCTTAGCCGTCTCCTCTTACCCACAAACCAGACTGCCAAACTCCTGGATCATAAAACAAAGGGTAAGCACCTGGATCATGACCCAGCTCCTTTCCTGTTCTTTTTGACACTTCCCCAACAGGAAAGGCTCTGGGTAATTGATAGAGATTATCCCTGATTCCCTTAATATAACCTTTTTACTCTTTCCTTTTCCTGGGATTAAGGTGTTCCTTAACAAGAAGTCCTTTTCTTAATGACACAGTCATCAACCTGTTATTGACCAAAGGAAGTGATCTAGCCCAACTCCACCTCTGTGGTTCATAGTCCCTTTTAGTCTCTTTCATAGTAATGACTTTTAAAGTTATTAACTGTGTGGGGTTTTTTTTCAATTTTCCGCAGTGTTAAAGACTATCAAACTAAACTTTAAAATTAATCTGTCTTCTTGAAATAATAATTGCCCATATACTTATTGTTGGATATAAGTGTTCGTACTGAGTAGATGTTTTAATATTTGCCAAGTGAGGGTTCCGAGGCAGTGTGCTTTCACTGTTGAGGTGTGCCATTCGCAGGATGAATTGAGGTCCGACATAAGGTGAAGACATGTGGACTCTGTCAGCAAGTACCTTTCCTCCTCCTCCTCCTCCTCCTTCCTCTCTCTCTTTCTGTCTCCCTCCCACCATCCCACCCCCCGCCCCTTTCAAGGAGTATTTCTTGCTGTGCATACAGGGTCTCTAGTGTGACTACTGGAGCTCCTGGAGGAGAGAGACTAGATCTTCTAGGACTGGGTCTTTTCAGCATACGCTTGTACCATCAGGGTAGGGGTTCAGTAAGTGTGCTGAATTAACAAATCCTGGGAAGGACAGTCACTTACAATTCAGCTTGTTGCCTAGAAGCACCTAGCCGCCAGACTGAACCTTGTGTAGGGGTCAGGAAACCCCATCCAGAGAGAATAAAATTTCAGCTGCTGATCCCAAAATGGCAGTAAACCACAGGCCGCTTGGATGCTGTGTATCAGAAGCTCCCCTGCGGGCATGCTGACTGCTACCAAAAGACAGCCCAGTCAATAAATAGCAGTCAGAGTTTATATGGTGGCCTCGCGAGTGGACTAATGATGCGTAATCACCAAGCATCGCCTTTTGTGAACCTCTTCCCTTCTGACACTTGGTCTGTATCTGAAAGGTCTGCAGCCGCAGCCCAGCTCCTGGCCAGCCTTCTCTTCTTCATTCGGGCAGCTTGGTCTTCAGGAAGCCCTTCCTGACCAGGCCAGCCCGTAACTCACATCTGTTTATATGGTGGCCTCGCGAGTGGACTAATGATGCTTCATTTGGGCAGCTTGGTCTTCATGAAGCCCTTCCTGACCAGGCCAGCCCGTAACTCACATCACCCCCCTCCAAGCTCATCTCTTCCAGACCTGTTTGTGAGCATCCTTCAAGGTGGTCTCACACAGTTTGAGCTCTTGATCCATTTGTCTTCCTTGTTGGTCTAACTCCGTTCCTCTAAATCAGTAGATTGCTCACTCTGCACAGGTGAGAACTTGCCCCTTCCTCCCCAACTGCTTCACCGCCCCGATGGAGGGGCATGGATGGGACTGTGAACCTAGGAGCAGGAAGTACTATTGCAACAGTCCTGACACCTGGTCGGGATGCCCAAGAACATCTTGTTCTCCAGCTCATGTCCATTCTTGGCCTCAGGAAGGCTAGCCTGGTGCCTTTTCGGCTTTTCTCCTTCCCCTGCATCATCACCACCATTGTGATGACTATTGAGTACCAGGACTGGAATGCATTTGGAAAAAACAAGAGTGTAGTTTCATCATGGCCTTCAACTCGTTGGCCTGTAGAAATGGGATTTAGGGTTTGTTCTTTTAATTAAACACTAACGTATGGTCTTCCTGGGATTAACTCATATTACGTTTAACAGCCTAACCTATGATCTCAGCTGCTACAGCCAGCATCCCCCCTCCACACCCCCAGTCCCTGTCACTAGAGTTGTTTCTAAGGGCAAAAGCTGTCATGACTTATTACAGAGAAGTGGGTATTAGCTGAGCAGTTGGCATCCAAGTTCTGTGACTTGGTTAACTCAGTTCAGAGTGTGTTGGAAAGCGTGTGTTTTGTGAAGAAAAATGGGACTTAAACTTGAAAATGGTGTCCTTCAGATTCTCATCTTTTGAAATATTTATCATCTTGTTATCGCAGAAGACTTCTGCAACTTGGATTCTATTGCTCTGTCCTGCCCTTGTTCAAGGTCCTGGGACCCCTGTGGAGTCCAAATATCATTGCAGCCAAAGGCCTAGCCTACGGAGCCTCTGCTGTGAACCCCAATATCTTGCCCCATACGGGACAGACATTGGCTCTTGTGCCCACAGCCCCTCCCCTCAGCATTTGTGCCCTGTAGCGTTTGCTACCTGCTGGGTTCCAGGTGCCATGCTAGGGGCTGACCCCAAGACTCCAAAATTGTGAGGGATCCAGGCTTCTGCTTTGAGGGTATCATTCCCACAGCCAGACATCACAAGAGCCTCGATTGTTTACTGCCTTGAAGCATATTTCTCTTTTTAACAAGGGCTTTCCTTAAGCATGAGTAAGAATAGTATTAAGTGGTTTTCTAGAACCAAGTACTGTAACTGAGAAAGGAATCCACCTGGCAGTTCTGGGCGGGAAGGAACAAGGATTGATGAGTTGGGATTAGGAAGCCCACTCCCGGCCACGCTCTCTCCTCTGACCTCCTTAGGGCTTGGTCTTGTGGTTGCTTATCTTGGCAATGCCTAAGAATCAGCCCCGAGAGCTTTCTAACCTGCAAAGGCCAGGTCTACCTCCATCCCAGCCACCCAGGGAGGGGTCTGACCCTGCATTTTTAAAAAGCTCCCCAGGATGTTCCCAGATGCTGCCGGGGTGACAGCCAGTGACCACCTTCTTCCTGTTGTGTGCCATGGCATCATTTCGTGCCCTAAACTTGATGTCCTCTGTGTATATGAGGTGCAGCACAGTCTCATCAACTTGCAGAACCCTGCAGAAGGTAGAGTCACTGTGACTCCTGAGTGCCTGCTGCTCTCTGTGGGAACTGGGCCTGCAAGCAGGACCAGATAGGATGCCTCAGCTCTGCTGCCTGGAGAAGAGAAAAATCCTGTACTCACAGTCAAGGGAAGGGCCAGGTGCCCAAAGGAGACACACATACTGTCTCCAAAGGAAGGAGACTGTGCCTAAATGCTTACCATGTGCCAGGCATCTTCTCATCTAGTCTCCCAACAACTGTGAGAATACCTCCTCTTAGTATTACCCTATTGTACAGGTGAACAAATGGGAGCACAGAACGGTCATCACACCTGCTGAGTGAGGTGAGCCAGGACTTCAGCCCAAGCAGCGTGAGGTGACAACTCCTCCCCCTACCCAGCCCCCATGGCCATGCTAAAAAGCATTTGGGGCTCAGTTGTTGAGTGTCAACCTGTGAACCAGGAGGTCGCTGGTTTGATTCAGGGTCAGGGCACATGCCCGGGTTGCAGGCTCAATCTCCAGTTGGGGGCGTGCAGGAGGCAGCCGATCATTGATTCTCTTTCATCCCGGATGTTTCTATCTCTGTCTCTCTCTTTCTCTCCCTTCATCTCTGAAATCAATAAAAATATATTTTAAAAATAAAAACTTGGGTTGGCCTGCCTATTCACAGGTCACCTTCAGGCTGTTTTCGTCCTCAAGCTCACCCTGATTAGGGGTATCATCAAACTGCACCCAGATAAGAATAGCAGGTGTGGGGGGCAACGAGAGAGATTTGTTTTTGTTGCTGTTATCAATGATTTTGTTATGAAATCAAGAGATTTGTATTTTACTAATAATACAAATCACAGATACAAGGAGTCAATACAATCGGATACACAGAGGACCATTTTTAAACCATCTAGATAGATTTTTAAGAAGTATCAGAGGGAAAGTTGTACTGTTGGTGAGCTTGCATTGGCTAAAATGGCAATGGATAGAACTTCCTTCCTTGAATGAAATAGCCTCTGACGAAAGAGACCCGGCTTTCAGCAGCTGATCCTGGACAAAAGTAGGGCTTTCCACGTTGCCAACCCTCTTTATGTTGACTATGAGCTGCATGACATTTGTAAAGGGAGTTTCAAAGATGAGATTCCAAATGGGTTAGGATAAGAGCGAGCTGGAATTTCCTTGTCAGACTGGGAAATACAACCCTCACATGAGCTATTGATGGAATACTTGGAGTTGCAGCATTCATGTTTCTATATGTGCACACATCTCCATCACGCTGGATTTGGGAAACCCCTAGGGCAGTGATGGCGAACCTTTTGAGCTCGGCGTGTCAGCATTTTGAAAAACCCTAACTTAACTCTGGTGCCGTGTCACATAGAGAAATTTTTTGATATTTGCAACCATAGTAAAACAAAGACTTATATTTTTGATATTTATTTTATATATTTAAATGCCATTTAACAAAGAAAAATCAACCAAAAAAAATGAGTTCGCGTGTCACCTCTGACAAGCGTGTCATAGGTTCGCCATCACTGCCTTAGACAGTGGTTCTCAACCTTCTGGCCCTTTAAATACAGTTCCTCATGTTGTGACCCAACCATAAAATTATTTTCGTTGCTACTTCATAACTGTAATGTTGCTACTGTTATGAATCGTAATGTAAATATCTGATATGCAGGATGGTCTTAGGCGACCCCTGTGAAAGGGTCGTTCGAACACCAAAGGGGTCGCGACCCACAGGTTGAGAACCACTGCTCTAGTGGCTGTGGCGCCACTTTCTCCAGGAAGGACAAAGAGAGGCCCTGACATCCACCAGCTCCTCCGTCAGAGGGGGAGGGTTTTATCTGGTTGCCTGATCACCCCTGGATCAATTGAGGGGATCAGCAGAATCAGGGGTGAAGCAGGGCTGCCCAACAAATGCCACAGCTACACGCCGGCCTCGATGTCCCCAATGGGTATATGGCCCCAAACCCTCCTGTGTAACGCTGACAGCTGCAAACACATCCTTACATCCCTCCATGCACACAGATGAAGAGATGCGCTTTTGGAAAAAGTTTTCCTGTCACTTCATCGCATTATACGTTTTCTCTCTGAGCTGGTTATTTAAAGGAGCCCTCTGTGGAATCCTTTTGTGAAGCAAATAATCAGCCCTGACTCGAACTTCGTGGAAAAGCTGGCTTTTCCCATCAGGTTTGCTTGCGGGTCAGAGAGAGCCCGTCCTCCACCTCTGGGGCAAAAGGGACGCTCCTGTAGGGTCTTCAGACTTCGCGGCACTGTTGTTCCTCCTGAAGCCTGATCCCGCCACCTAATGAACACTTGTTTACAATTAAACAAGTGTTCGCTGCCATATGCAGAGAGGGGGTGGTCCTCTTTGAAGTTTCTAATTGCTGACTTTATACAATTTGGCCTGAAGTGGGACTTCTGGAAACTCAACTAAAAAGATAGCAGCAAACAAGTTCTTCCAAAAGTGTCTCTTCCCGGCCTAGACGTCTCCGAAACAGCCAACTGCTCCCCCAGCAGCGGCTGGAAAGGAGGGGAGGACGGGCTTCCTGGGATTTGGGTGCTCCTTGTCAGGTGTTCAAACAAAGAGGATCATTGTATTGGGGGGAGCTGGTCTAAATGTCTATGTCTAAGATTAAGATCTAGGGAAACGCATTTCCTTTTGACACCCAGTATTTTCCAATTGTGAAAGGGGTACAGCCCGTGCAATGGCGCCGTGACCATGGCTGCGGAGTGCAGCCACTTCTGTCGGCTCCTTTAATTAGGAGAAATTAAGTGAGGCTGCTACATATTTTGAGAATAACACTATTTAAACTCAGGCAGCCCTAACCACTAACTGAACCGCTGGATTCTCGCTGCTACATGTCTCCGAAATAGATCAGCATAATCTTAACTAGGACTTAACATGCATCATCTTCGTTCCGGAGCGCAGAACCAGCAGCCCACGGGAGCCTCGGAGGCTTAATGACTTTAATTATGGCGAGAAATACCTTCCCCCCGGTGGGAGGGGTGCGGCCGCCGGCCTGGTCGGCTCAGGGAAGGCTGGATGGGAGCCCGCCCCCAAAGACCGCCCCACTGGGTGGGGAAGGGACTGGGGGGAGGCCGCTAGGGCCTCCAAGTTCTGAGCCGTGTTTGTGGCTTCAGCGCTTTGATCTTCTGCCAGGGAAACCTGGAAGGTCAGGCCGGGCTGCAGCCAAGCCCCGGAGCGAGGAGCCAGTGGAGCGGACAGGGCTGCACCATCCACCCTCACCCTGCACCCACCTCCTTTCACCCGCCCCCCAAAGTGAAACCGCCTGGCCACCCAGCAACCCTACCCCCCCCCCCCCACCCCGTTCTTCTGCAAATGTTCTGTGTGTTGATCCCCTTTAGGCAGTGGATTAGAGGCTCCAAGTCATGGAAGTAAACTAAGCAAATGCCCTGCAAGTTTGGTTTTGGTCAAAAAAGAAACCTGTTATTTTTTAAGCTGAGTGTACCCCCTCCCTACAAATCCCTCCAGAGGGGCAGGTGGTTCCCCTGAGGTTTGTGTGTGTTAGGGCCCTGCCCCTCCCATTTTCTTCTGACACCCGCTCCCTTCTGGGCACCAGGATTTTCTCACCGGTTACCCATGTGCTGTGGTGTGTGACCTCATTTCCTTTGGAATGAAAGGTTTCTGTAGGAAAACAGGGCTTGGGTGAGAGGGGCCTTACAAGCCCCTGTCCCTGGCAAGAGAGTTCCCTGTCACGCAGTGACTCATGCTGCAGGGAACAGCAGCTGACCAGAACAAGAGCCTGGTGCCTGGGTGGTCACTACTAAGTGAAGGAGATGGGAGTGGAGGAAAGGAAAAAGTGAGGAGGGGAGGTTTGAAATCCACTTAGTGGCCTCGAGAGAGAGGGGCATAAAGGGACCCTGTGAGTCCCCACTGTTTGTATTTGGGGAGGACCAGCCAAGAGGGACTGATGGGCATCAGGCGTGGCCAGTCTCTGGGACTGGCTGGTTGGTCTCCGTTGGTGTTCACAGTCCCTCGCCCCTCCCTGACCACAGGAGCGGGCCGGCCGCAGTGGCAGCAGAAGCAGGGCTCGTTACTGGCGCCCGGCACTCCTGGCAGCGATGTGTAGGAGGCTCGGGCCTCAGGTGAATGTGCCGCGCAAGTCTGTGCTGTGGTCTCATTGCCCCACACCGTTGAGTCTGGGGGTGAGGAATCTGCCCCCAGTTCTCCCAGAAAGCCACGCTCCAGATCCTCACGCCTGCTGGGGAAGGCTGGCCAACATGCAGGCCACGTTTCTCAGGTGGACCCCATCCGTCTTTTAGGGCTTCGCCGCAGTGATAATGGAAGGAAGGGAAAAATCCCGCATCTCATGCCATGGGTGCCATTCGTTCCTGTGGCGGTGCCCAGGGGTGGTCATTCTGTCGGCTTCCCTTTGGTGAGAGTTCTAAAGGGGGTTTGCATTCCTCCCTCCCGAGAGAGTGTCGGGAACAAACACTGCAAGTGCACAGACTTGTTTTCTAAGAGCTTTGACATCAAAGATGTGCTCGCACAGAGGCCTGAGGCCTGATATAAAGATCCATCACCAGGCAGAGCCATTTTTAGTGGCTGGGGCCAAAGTTGCCGGGAGACAGTGATATCTGCATTAGAACCAACCACCCATCAAAGGCCCATCAGCAAACACCATAGCAGAAGACCTGAATCGGTTAATAAGAAAGCAGATCCACAACATCCGAAAGGCAGACCATCTCGAGTTCCAAGAAGACCTGGTAGAGAATGGACTTTCTCAGCTTCAGAGTCAAAGGAGATCAGGTGGCCAGGAGTGATGGTCTGAGCTTAGAGTCCAGGGCCCAGGGTCTTTGATGCTAACCCCGAGGGCAAAAGGCTGATCCTTTTTAGGTTAATCAGCAAACATTTCTTGGCCTTTTACCCCTGTGGCAGGCCCTTTGCTGGGTTGCTGGGGATTCAGCAGGAAAGAAGTCTGACACATTGGCTGCCCTCTAGTGAGAGAGGCATTTTTAAGTCAACAATTACAATGTGATGTCATAAGAGCCGCAATGGTGGGGCACAGAGACAGGCCACAGGCACTAGCAGTGCAGAGGGAATAAGACCTGAGCCAGATGAGAGAAGAGAGAAAGGCTAGCCAGTGTTGGTGGGGGTAGGTAGTGCGTTCCTCGGTGGAAAGGGTGCAGGAGGTCAGAGAACAACTAGAAGCTCAGCCTAGTTAGATTGGGAGCTGGAGTGTTGAGTTTGTGATAAGCAGTGGATAGGTTGTATCTTATCCAGAGTCATTCAAGGAGCGTGGTACCGGTCAGATCAGTGACTTAGAAAGGACCCTCTGTCACTGAATGGAGACCATACTGGGGAGCAGGCAGGGTGGGCTAGGGACACCCCCAAGGGAGGATATTGTCAGTCACCTGAAAAGTGTGGTGTCCTAGACAGGCGGCAGCAGTGGGGATGGAAAAACGGTGGATGGATTTGGAAGATGGAATCAGCAAAACATGGTAAGCAGCTGAGTGTCGGGGTGAGGGCAAAGCGCTTTGGTTTGACCTGCCCCACCCCATCCCCGGGAGGGGGACACTTCCCTGAGGAGGGAGTCCAGCTTGTAGGAAGGGAAGGATTGGATGAAGAGTAAGCCCATTGCAAGACCCAGTGCATCCATATCAGCCTGAGCAAGACATGACCATAGATATCTTGGGGACCCAAGCTGAAGCAAAATGCTGACGCCAAGTCATAGGAACCAAGCCCCGGGACTCTGGTGCCATTTGGATTCTCCACAATCATGGTTTCTGCCACCTGGGGTCACCCTGTTAGAAGCGTGTCAGACGAGAGCCACAAGTGAACTCCTGGTTGGCTAAGAAGGGGAGAGACTTTTCAGGAACACTCATTGCTAAACAAGGTCTCTCCCTGCAGGACAGCAGCAGGGGTGTAATACATACAGACACTTCTAGAAGGTCCTGGCTTGTATTTTTCCTGGGGTGCCTGCACACAGTCGGCCCTCTTAAATACTTGGCAGATTGAACCGTATAATTGAGTGTTTTCATAACAATAACCATCTCATTCAAATTGTGATGTATATATCCTTATACATTGTTTTCCAGATCAAAATGTAGGTCTCTGTCACATCCCTGTCTTTCCTACCTGTGAGTTACAGCAAGGGAGTGATTGGGGGGTGATACTTCTCTAACCTTAGTGTCCCATGTAGCACATTCGTTGGGTCCCAAACGTCTCCCATGGGGGGAAGGGTGTTGACAGGAGTTGCTGTTAAAAGCATGTGTCCCAACAAATTGGGGATGCCAGGTAGAAAGAGCCTCTAGGGTACTAATGTGCTCTGTGTCAGGGACAACAATTCGAGAATATTCAGCATTTCTCGAAGGACACTGACCAAGAAAACCTGTCATCCCCCAATCATACTTTAGGAAAAGCTCCTATAGGGACATGGGCTAAGTGATCCCATGGCTGTAATATCTTACTCATTTGCCCATGGAACAAAGCTCTCGGATTATTCCTATGGCTCCCCTGGCCTTTTGATCATACTTTAGGAAAAGCTCCTTTATAGAGACATGGGCTAAGTGATCTCATGGCTGTAATATCTTACTCATTTGCCCATGGAACGAAGCTCTCGGATTATTCCTATGGCTCCCCTGGCCTTTTCAGAGAGGTCTGCCTGCTGCTCACTGCTGAACGTATCCCCAGGGCCTAGCACACACAGCAACTGGTTAATTACTACTGTTACATAAATTCATAAGTGGCACTACACGTAGAATTAACTCCGTTCCCACCTGCTATGTTAATTGGTTTAGTGTAGACAATCCCAGGGCAACCCGCTTTGGTAGGCTTTATGGGGCTCACAGACTGGTCAGTGAGAGCTACCTCCTGACCCCATTAGACCCGGAGGGCAGGTTTTGGTTTTGGTCAGGTGAGGCATTCACACGTAAGTTGTCTATGCCCTCTGACTTGAGCAAGACCTCTTGTGGGTATTTATTTTTAAGGATGGATGCCACCAGAATGGAAGTATAAGAATAGAAATACAGCGCTGTTTTTAATAGTGGAAAGTTAGACTGGTCACCAAAGCAGTACTGCATGTTGGAGTTACCTTTACCTTTTCTATAACTTGTACCAAATCATCCACTCGTCTTTCCTTTGCACCATTCCGTCAAAGTAATTTGGTACAAAAGAAAAAAAAAAGTTAGACATCCTCTAATGCCTTCAGAAGGAAAGTCTTAAACTCTGGTACAACCATATAATGGAATAATATGTGTAGCTGGTAAGAAGAATGAACATTTTTCTACATCAATGTTATTGAATAAATTATTACATTAAGGGGGAAAATAGAGTACAGAACAGTATATACATTTAATTTATTTTTAAGTGTTATTTTGATATGTCAGTATATACATATGCATTTTATTCCTGCTAATGTATGGCTTTTAAAAAAAATATGCAAGGATATAAACCACACTGTTATAAAACTAGGATAGCCCTGACCGGTTGCTCAGTGGTTAGAGCATCGGACTGCAAACTGAAGGGTTGAGGGCTGGATTCCCAGTCAAGGGCACATACCTCAGTTGCAGGTTCGATCCTCAGTCCTGGTTGGGGCTCGTATGGGAGGCAATCAATTGATGTGTCTCTTTTGCATCAATGTTTCTCTCTCTCTCCCTTTTTCTCTCCTTCCCCCTCCCTCCTCTCCTCCCTCCCTCCCTTCTACTCTTAAAAAAGCAATGGAAAAAATACCCTCCATTGAGGACTTTTTTTAAATTAAATTTTTTAAAAAGTAGGATACAGGACGAAAGGTTTTTCTGCTTTTACTTTCAGAATCACAGTAAGTCCTCATGTAATGCCATCCATAGGGTCTTGGAAACTGCAGCTCTAAGCCAAACGACAGGTAGCAAAACCAATAGGACCACAGGCTAATTGATAGAAACAAGAGTTAAGCTCCTGCAGCATATTCTTGGTCACAAAAACACACCCAGCTTCTAAAGAAAGACCTAAAATACTTCTAATATTAAACATTGAACTGAGCACTTAAGAAAGATGAATGCAAGAAAATTCTTTTCAACCCGCTTATTCCAGTCGAGGGTTGCAGGTGGCCAGAGCCTGCTCAGGACCCCAGGTGGGAACCCACCCTGGACAGGACACCATTCATTCACTGGTCACAAAAACACACCCAGCTTCTAAAGAAAAACCTAAAATACTTCTAATATTAAACATTGAACTAAGCATTTAAGAAAGATGAATAAAAAGAAAATTCTTTTCCAACCCGCTTATTCCAGTCGAGGGTTGCAGGTGACCAGAGCCTGCTCAGGGCCCAAGGTGGGAACCCACCCTGGACAGGACACCATTCATTCACACACACACACACACACACACACACTCTCACATCGTAGACACACCACTTCACCTCATGGGCACATCTTTGGGATGCGGGAGGAAACTTGAGTCCCCGGAGAAAATTCACCAGACATGGGGAGAACATGCAAACTCCACAGTGGCCCCCGCTGGTAATCAGTGTGTTTGTGGTTTTGTTTTGTTTTTTTTCATCAAGGTTAGAAAAAAATGAAGTTATTCAAGGACCTGCTGTATTAAAATGTTCACATCGAGCACATATTACTTTTGTAAGTAGCAAAGACACTAAAGGTGGTCATGTTTTGGCGGGAAATGCATCACAGAAAGTGCTAAGCAGAGGAGAAATCCTTAGAGATATCAGAGCTCAGTAAAGAATAAGAGCGGTTTTGACTAAAGAGAAGGACTTGTCAGTCTCAGGGGAGGGGTCACACATGAACTTGACCTTGAATCCGTAGGATAGGTCTGATCAACTTATACTTCACTCTGGGTTATCTCTCTGCATGTGAAGTTTCATGCAGAATTACTAACAAACTGACTTCCCTCTCCCAGCTAACTTACCAACAGGTCAGTTTACCCAGAAGTTAAATCTCTTGATAAACTTGTCTCATGTTGTGGGTGCCAGCCTATCTTGTTATTACTGCAGATAAATTAAGTTATGTGGGTTTATACGGAGGGGCATTAAAATCCTATGTGGATTATATTAAGATTCTTAGTACTAATCTTCATCTTCTTTGGCCCTGGACCTCCATCCTAAGGAAATTGAAAAAGTAAGCCAAGATTTATTTAATGTAGCGTTAATTATAATAAAAATCTGGAATAGCTCAAATATCTAAAACACATGAGTAAGTAGATTATGTGAAGGGATATATCACAGCCTTTAAAATATTTACAATGAATTTTTAATGACTTGTTGGGAGCTTATGATAAGTACAAAAAAAAACCAACAACAACCAAAATCGTATTCAATGGAGGGAAAAAAAGAATTTGCTCGGAGCCCCTATACGTCAGAACTTCCTGTGAGAGGTTGAAGGCACATGTCTTCATATCAGCGGTTACACTCCAGCTTCCTTGGTGTCCCCATGGACAAGAGTTTGGGACAAAGGACATTTTCAGTAATCTCTTGGGTTATTTCCTATTAAGGTGGTATTTTGTCAAAATTTTCTTACAATAAAGATTAGGCACTGGGGGCAACATACTCAGTGCTTGACAAAGAAACAGGCAACAGGTGAAAAATGGAGTCTGTGCCCAGGGCCTCTGAGAAGTGAATATACCGTGGGACCAAACCCAAAACCAAGTCTTAGTAGACCGAAAGAGTGCCAGAGCCATTCCTGATTAGAATTCCTGAACTTAATTGACACTAATTTAGTCTCTAGACTAAGTTTTCCCGTCCACAAGGTAGTAATGGGAATATTCTCATCAGAATGCCCCATTCACATCTGGAAATTTAAGAATCAGTCAGCCCAGCCCAGCCAGTGTTGCTCAGTGGTTGAGTGTCAACCCATGAACCCAGGAGGTGATGGTTCAGTCCCCAATCAGGGCACATGCCTGGGTTGTGGGCTCAGTCCCTGGTGGGGACGTGCAGGAGACAGCCAATCAATGTTTTACTCGCATTGATGTTTCTATCTCTCCATCCCTCTTCCTTCCTCTCTCTAAAATCAATAAAAACATATTTTTTAAAAAGAATCAGATTGATAGAAGCACTTCCTTAGGGGAAAGATGGTTCAATCCCCGATCAGGGCACATGCCTGGGTTGTGGGCTCAGTCCCTGGTGGGGACGTGCAGGAGACAGCCAATCAATGTTTTACTCGCATTGATGTTTCTATCTCTCCATCCCTCTTCCTTCCTCTCTCTAAAATCAATAAAAACATATTTTTTAAAAAGAATCAGATTGATAGAAGCACTTCCTTAGGGGAAAACCACATCCACATTCAGGGAACAGTAACCCAAGAGTGTGGTCCCAGGAGGCTTTCTCTCATGGAGAATAAACATGCACTGAATAACCGGAGGAGCCTTGCATGGCAATAAGTGCCAGCCACAGTGGGACCCTGTCTTCCAGGGCTTAGAATTGTGTACTTTACAAACCTCGCGTGTGCAGATGTTTGCACTTTTGATACCTGTTTCAATGGCTATGGGCATTGTCTAGCCTCGGGTCTTGCAGGCCGGGAAAGGTAAATAAAGAACCTTGACAACCTTTTATTCCACATTCTGCTGCTGGGCTTCTGGTCACCTGCCGGCTGGTGCGGACCTGCCCTGTGCCTGATCAAAGCAGCAAAGCTGATGAAAGATGGGAAAAATACCTGTGTGGGTGGGGTCGAGGGGAAGGGCATGCGGAGGTCAGCGAGGCAAGGCCTTTGGCTGCTTCTGGGAGGACTTGCCGAGACTTCCCACCTGTTTCCTGCTACTCACACCCTTCTCGTGCTCTTCTTTCCGCTCCCGTCTCTCTGTGCACAGTCCAGGGTAACCCAGTTTACCAGTGACCTTCGTCTGGCAACATCCACCAGGGCATCTCGCCCATCCTGTCTGAAACAGCCTTATCTTGAGAATGTTGGATGTTATAAAGATAGGGTTCCTGGCAATCGGAATCTCCCCACTGTGGTTTAGATGGGTTTTTAAAATAGTCTTACCAAGCTTGACGAGGTAAAACGGTATACGATCCAAGGTAGGAAGGTTGGTTTAAGGAATATGTGTCATCCATCACACTGAAAACATGGCGAGGGGGACAGTGTGACCAAGTAGTGTCCTGTGCTTTTCAATTGGCTTTGGGAATAGTATAATAAACGTGTCCTCTTCTAAATAGGGGTTATCTGTGGCCTCTTTCAAATCCCGAGCCGGCTCCTAACTGGCAAGTTCCCCAGGAGGACCCTGCTCAGCCCTGGTATATGCAGGAAATAAGCCTAATTTAAAAGCAGCTTACATTAAACATGACTTTTAACGTTAAGTCAACTGTGAGAATTATCATTTTCTCAAACTAAATATTTGTGCTTGGATCCCGTGCATGAGCCCGGCTGTTTCTGAGGTTAGGCTGTAAATGGGATTTAAGCACCTTAATATTGACCTGCTCTCTTCAAAGTGGAAACCAGGAGACTGGCCAACCCTCCTAGATGATGTTGAAAATGTCTCTTTAAAAGTGCCTGCCCTGGTGGGTCGTTGCCTCACCTCCACAGCCCGAGACTGCCACGCTCCTGTGGCGCAGGGGAGCCTGGAAGCCTCACAGGTCCCCAGTCTTGCAGGCGTTCGCCCGCAGCCATTCGCCTCGCCAGGTGCGCCAGCATCAAAGCGGGGGTGCCGGGTGCTCCTGATCTAGATGCTTCTGAAGGCTCCTTCCCCTCAGGTGCTGTTTGATGTGTTTGATCGTGGAATGAAAGCCAAGTTCAGGAATGAGAGGTCCTGTTTATTACCTCGTATTCCGTATTCCGTGCTGTTCCTCCAGGCGCTTCGACATCTTGGGAGAGTGTGAAAGACTGGGACACAAGCACTGGCTGACTTGGGGTCCACGGGCTGTTGGCCTCAGGCAAAGGAGTCTGTGCCATCACGCCCTCTCCTGCTGGAGGCAGGTGATAGGACAACTCCAGCTCTTTCCGCGTTGCTCTGGACAGTCAGTTGAGTGTCCAAGATTGGAACTGGGCCCTAGCTGGTTTGACTCAGTGGATAGAGCATCAACCTGCGGACTAAAGGGTCCCGGGTTTGATTCCGGTCAAGGGCACATGCCCGGGTGGTGGGTTCAATCCCTAGTGGAGCCAGAAAGAGCTTCTCAAGGGTCACTCCTGACTGCAGGGTGGTGGTGGTGAGATGGGGCGGGGTGGACCAGTGGCAGAGGAGACGTTATGTATTCAGAGTAACACACTGAGTCTCAGATCAACAAGAAGGAGTCCCGAGCAGATAGGACAGCTTCGGCAGCACAGCACCAGCGTGCCCGAGCTCGTGAAGTTGCAGAGGCCTCCGCAGTGTCCCTGAGGATTTCACTGCCCTGCTTGTTGAGTGCCAACCACAGGGAATGGACTTGTTCTAAAAAGGTGGGGTAAGACTGCCCTCTAGTGGGCTGGTAGAGCCGAGCCATTGGTCTAGCCACCTCATCCACTTAGGTCCAGTGTTGCTTTCTTACGCTGCAACTATATGGAGTGATTATTCCTTTTTTTGTTTGTTTTTAATTTATTAAAACAAAATTAAAATTTGGAGATTTTGAAGAGAGAGAGAGAAAGTGCTGCAACTATATGGAGTGATTATTCCTTTTTTTGTTGTTTTTAATTTATTAAAACAAAATTTTAATAAATTAAAATTTGGAGATTTTGAAGAGAGAGAGAGAAACATTGATGTGTTGTTCCACTTATTTATGCATTCATTGGTTGATTCTTGTATGTGCCCTGACTGGGGATTGAACCTGAAACCTTGGTGTATTGGAACAATGCTCCAATCAACTGAGCTACCCGGCCAGGGCCTAGAGTGATTATTCTTATGGAAGGAATTCAAATTGTATACTTTCTCAAAAACCCTGGCCCTAGAGACTATCTTGACCTCAGAGCGTTAGCCATTCTTTGCCCATCTTATAGGAGGTTTTGGTCCTTCCGTGCCTCTTTCTTTCTCTCCCCCCCGTCCCCCCCATGTTAGAGGTTGTAACAAGATTCAGGTTTCTAAATGCAAAGATTATGTCTTATGTCTTTCTCTTCTGTAGCTTCTTCCCATCTTCCACTTAGCTGGACATAAAGTTAAAAGGTACATCGGGATGGAAAGGAATCCTTTTCCCAAAAAAAGAATCTCACCGCTTCTCATTTGTTCCTAAAACATTCTAATCTCATCTCTCTGATCAATAGTTTCCCAAGTAGTTAAGTCATCAGAATCCCTCAGAAAACTTTTAGAGCTGTTTCCTGGGCCTCCCTCCAGCCCTGCTGAATCAGTCTCTGTGGTTTGAGCCAGGAAATCTGCTTTACAAACTTCCCAAGTGGTTTTTGATGTGCAGCCAGGTTTGGCAGCCAACTGCTCTAAATCCCCATTTACAGTGATTTCTCCTAGCTTTTCCCTCGGACGGCGTCTCCAAAGGCCTTCGGCCCGTGTCAGTTATTAAAATTGACCATCTTGAGATGCCTTCAGAAATACTCCGTACGCTGCTCCCACTGCAGTGCCGGGTGCCACGGGAAGAGAGAAGGACCACAAGAGAGGGACCAAAGGCATTTGCTTTGGTTGCCAGTGGCTCTGTGTTCATAGCAGAAAATACTGAAACCAATACCTTTATGCTGACGGGGCAGGTTGTTGGTTTGTAGTTTGTTTTTAATGTTTAGGTTGGATAGGGAGACAGAGGTTGACTGAGTACCCAGTTTTTTATCTTCACCTATTCTAACTCATCTTGTTCTCAAGGTAGATGGTCTTGCCCCTTGATGTACAGAGAGGAAAGGTCAGAGGGCCAGAATGCCAACCTGCTCTGTTTCCTTCTGCCAGGCCAAGCGAGCAGTGCAGCGGGGAGCCACCGCAGTCATCTTCGATGTGTCTGAAAACCCAGAAGCTATCGACCAGGTAAATCCTCGGACCGTGCCGGCACCGCACCCTCCCGAGAGAAGCCCCGCCTTTGGGTAGCTTGGCCTGTCACAGTCATGTCAGCCTCATCTCAGGGCCTTGGCGTTGTCTGCTGATGGTTGCTGTCCGTGCTTGGACATCATACTCAAGGCCAGACTATGGAGAGGGGTTAAGAGCCAGGAAAGTTGGGATATAGGGGACATTTCCCAAGACCTTCTGGGCCTTCAGTCTGCCCGGTCCAGCCTAGAACCAGCCTCATCCCCAGCCTTGCCGTCTGGGAAGCTCCGAGGCAGTCATGCTTGAGGAGTCGGGTGATTTCCAAACGGGTATTCCGTATTCGTTTCCTCCAGCCTTTCTCTCTCTCTCCTGCTTCTTACAGTAAGCACGTCTTCTAACCGGGAGCGTCTCTTCTTCCTTAGCTAAACCAGGGCCAGGAAGACCCGCTCAAGAGGCCCGTGGTGTACGTGAAGGGCGCAGATGCCATCAAGCTGATGAACATCGTCAACAAGCAGAAAGTGGCTCGAGCAAGGATTCAGCACCGGCCCCCTCGAGTGAGCCTCCGCCCCGGCCACCACGCCCGGCCCCTTCTCTGCTGCCACCTGAGCCTTCATTCCCTTCAGGCTTTGGGCTCTCACTCCTGTCTTCTTTCTGATCTAATGCTGATGCGCCCCAGGTTCCTATCGGTTTAGGTCAATGCTCCTTTAGCGGGGGTTGGGAAAGCCCTACCAGAAATAGCTGATTCGGGCCAGGATCTCCCTGGTCTCTTCCACCCAGTGTTCCCTCTTGGGAAACTCTTTTCTCTCTCCTGTCCCGTCTCCCTCTGAAAGGCTGGCTGAGGAGGATTGAAGGGAAGGAATTCTCAGCACAGAGCTTCCCACGTCTCCTCCTTCCATGTGACCTAGACCCGAGGGAAGAAGCCTGTGCTTCCTTCTTCCGTGGGGTCAATAGCGTTATTAAAACCCCGAACTGATACTGATTCTGGAAAAGTTAGCTGTCAACTGGGATTGAAGTTCATGGTTTGTAGGAGGTTAATGAATAGTCTTTAAGGCTTCCCTTAAGGGTGTCGACACTGCTGACCATGAACTCTTGTCTGGCATCTTCTGCCTAAACTTCTGAAGATTCTAGGAACCTGGGACAGGTGCCCCATATCTGGTTTATTTCCTTCTCACAGATATTGGGATCTTCACTCTAGGATGGTTCTTTTCCGTGCACATCATAGCTGGACACCTGAGGCATTCAGTTAGCAAAATTCTATTCCTATTGGCTCAAGGCAGGTCCTAGATAAGGTGACCTCAAGGTCTGAGGAGGCAGTGAGACGTGAGGAAAAGGTAAGAACTAAAAGTAGAGGGAGTTTGCAGAAGAGCTGACATGCTGGCTTCTTTTTTAAAGGGAAAAAAGAGCACTTTGGTAAATATGACTCATTGTAGTGGAAGCTGATATTTGTGGAAGCAGCGTACAATTTTCTGAGTTGTTGTAAACCATTAATTACATGGTTAGTAATCACTGCTCCCTCAAAACATGACACTCATTCCTTTGTCCCAAAAATGTGATATTTGTGTTTATTTGGAGAAGCCTCTCCTACCGGTTCTAGCGAGCTTTGCACTATTCCGCTGGGAGCTGGGCTTTATGAACTGTCAGGAGACCTGGCTGAGACCGCTGCAGGCCTCCCCCTGGCGACACTGGAGGGTACTACCTGGCCTGAATAGCACCCGGTGTGCCTGTTAGCAGATCCCCAGGTGTTCCCTGCAAATGGGGGGGCTAGGGGGAGTGCACCCCAGTTGCCCCATCCTTATTCCGACTTGAGCCAACACAGCCCGTGCGCCGAACCTCAGGCTGAAGAGAGCGGTGACTCACTGTGTCTGTGTTCTGTTCCAGCAACCCACGGAGTACTTCGACATGGGGATTTTCCTGGCTTTCTTTGTCGTGGTCTCCTTGGTCTGCCTCATCCTCCTTGTCAAAATCAAGCTGAAACAGCGACGCAGTCAGGTAATGCCTCTGAGCAGCCCGTGCACACTGATGCCAGCTGCCCTGCCCGGTCCCAGGGGCCTAGAAATAGCAAAGACAGAAAAGCTAGAGCACAGCTTCCAGCGCTGTGTCTTCTCTGTTCTAAAAGGCCCGGTCCTGCAAAGGCCGAGCATTAGGGGTGTTGCCAGCCAGGCATTTTTCCAAAGAAATGTTTAAATGTTCATGTGGAACCCAGAGCCTTGATCTGGGCACCAGCAGCAGCAATGTCACCCGGGAGCTTGGTAGAAATGCAGGGTCTCAGGCCCCGCCTCAGACCTGCTGAATCTAAGTCGCATCTACCTGGCTTTCCAGGTGATTCTCAATGAACAGAGTAGGCGCTCTGGGGCCCCAGCTGGCACATGGCTGTGTAGGAAGGATTTGGGGGTGGAAGGTGATGAGAGGCTAAGCAGGAATCTTGACTCTCAAATGGGTAGCAGCGTGCTGTCGGGGGAGCGATGGTGGACCTTGGCAAGCAGTCTGTTGAGAGGAGCATCGCCGAGTTCTCAGTAGAACAGTGGCTGGTGTTTGCCCAGCACATCTGATTTACCAAGGGCTGAGCCCTCACGCACACTGTCTCATTTGCCCTCAGAACTTTCTCCAGGGTAAAGGGGAGGAACCCTGGCACAGAGCAGGGTCTTGCAGAGTTGGCCAAGCCCTTGAAGTAGACCTCTGCCGGTCCTTCCCCTGGGGGAGGCCTGGGTTGCTGTCATGGGCACTCAGGAGCCTGGCACATCTGGGCTGTGGCAATCTGGATTTTCAGTGATGTCCCAAATGTCTGCTCTGGCCTGATCGAGACTAGCATTACCCTATCCTGGCTGATCGAGCGCCGAGGCCCTGAGGGTGCCTCCCACTGTTCATACGTGCCAGACCCTAACACGGGCCACACTCTGCCATGCAGAATTCCATGAACAGGCTGGCTGTGCAGGCGCTGGAGAAGATGGAGACCAGGAAGTTCAACTCCAAGAACAAGGGGCGCCGGGAGGGGAGCTGTGGAGCCCTGGACACACTCAGCAGCAGCTCCACGTCCGACTGTGCCATCTGCCTTGAGAAGTACATCGACGGAGAGGTAACGGCAGAGGCTGGGCTCGTGGGGA